CCCCAAAACCCCAAAACCCCAAAACCCCAAAACCCCAACAAACTAAAGCTAGGGGGAATCAAAATAAATAAATATTAAATAATCCCAAATGGAAGATAGTGTAATCAAGCAGAGATTTGATAGCGAGCAGAGGGACAGCGAGTTCTTCTTATGGAACAGTGAAGATATTGATCTTGATGATCCGATGGAGTCACCTAGTGAGAGACAGTCGGTTTACAGTTTCAACTCCAACCCTAGCATACTGATTCATGACAAAGGCCAGACGAGGAGAGATCATTTTGATTCCTTTAATACAACGAAAAACATAAAGTTGGAGAGTAAAATGAGAGCCCCCATCTTATGCAAATCAAAGACGTGTAACGAGGAAGGCCCAATACCTTCAGATTTCTCGTTCTGTCTGAAGCAGCAGGCCCCTAGGAGGTCAGAGCAAGTTCTGTATAAGGACATCGCTGCGAGTAGGAAAAATTCGGTTGCAATTACACAATTGTCTTCCCTTCCTAAACATATTTAACATATAATTAACTCTTACAAATTTTATGAAATTTTGAATTTTGTTGGGGATTTCATCATGCTTAATTTGCTAGCACTTTGCAGACAAGAGAATGAACACTATAACAGGGGATGCGGCTTAGATGCTCTTGAGGGCCATTAGACCGCGCATAATACTTATCTACCTCAAACATTAGTAATTGGGTTTAGTGAACAACGAGATGAGCGTTAGAAGAAATCTTCAATAATATCAGTTGAAAGGCTTCAGATTCTCACATTCTTCTGGAATCTTAAGGGACTTGGCCTCAGAAGCTCGGTGTTAGCCTTAGAGCCTTCTTTCTCATTTTTACGAATTTTGGCCATGAAAGGCTTCTGAGTTTTAACCAAATTTGTCAATTTTTAGCTCTTGATGAAAATTCAACAATTCTTAAAATATCTAACCATAAACTATCTGGGACTTCTAAGCAAGAGATTTTACATAGAGCTGGCAAGCTGATCAAGGGGCTCAGCTTATCTAGTCCTCTTAGGCAATGACTCAAAGACTCTAGCGTATTTTCTGTATAGAGGATAGAATAGGTTTGATTCATGAATTATGTGAGACTTCTTAAAATTACCATTAATTGCACACTAGGCATTGCCAGACTTGTTTGACAATTTTTAAAACACAGAGGAATATTATTAAAAACCTTCTTAATCATCTCTACTTTGTTTAAGCATGTAGCCTCCCTAACATCCACATAAAACCCGAGATAGTATGGCCGTGATTCTATAGCTCAGCGAACTCTTTCTCTAAATGGGCCAAGTTTGGTCAATCCTCCGATCTAGCTGGCTCAAGCATGGCTATGATCATCTAAGGAACTAATAAGATGACTTTACTATTATATTTCGTTATCTTCCTAAGGAATCACTATTTTATAAATAAAACAAAATTTTCAACCTTCTTTTGAAAATCTGGGGTTTTGGGGTTTTGGGGTTTTGGGGTTTTGGGG